ATTTTTCCAGATGCATTAAAAGAAAACTGTTGTATTCTATTTCTTCCTGTGACCTATACTACTAGCCTGTAGTCTTGAGTGTTGATGGAAATAAAGACCTAGTTTCAACTACTTTCGTTGCGTCAACACAATGTTGCAGACAGTGATGATAAATCAGCCCATGAAGCATGGCAAGACTCATCCACGACAAAATAGTTCACTGAATAAGGGTGGTTGGCCTTTTTCTTTTAATTCATATAGTTGTTGAGATGAATAAGCGAAAATAACTTTAGAAAGCAGTGTTGTATTTTTTAACGGTAATTCGAATTATTAGGATCCTTTCTTTTTTTTTACTTTCGAAAACCTCTTGTCTTACAAGAAAAAAGCATTAGCGTTATTCGAGCTTCTAACAGCAGAACATCATACTATAGAGCAGAGAAAACAATAACACTCTCAGAAACACAAAAACAAATGTGTGTGTGTGTTAGTCTTTCGTGCAGTAAGAACAAAATATGTTTCAAGTAAAAACTTAAAGCAAATCAGATACAAATATTATGTTATTTACTCTTCCAAACGAAATGTGACCACCAGAAATTCAACATTCTCGCTTTGTACTGTTTTGAATAATCTTTCTCTATGTACATGTTGAATTTCACACTCGTATCCAGGTGCTTATGTTTATTTAAGTTGCTGCATCTAGACAAGTGTTTTCTTGGCGTACCACCGACGTGCGCAGATGACAAGTTTATCGTATACATATTCAGTTTTGCTTGGCTAGAGTTGACGTTGAAAGTTTTGTTTTGTGACAGAGATTTACGGGTAAACTTTCTTCTTTATCAAATGAACTTAGTTTTCTGTATTTTTATGTATGGTTAAGATACTGGGACATTTGTTGCCGTCTCTAATTTTGAACTACTGATCATAAGGAAGGCAGCCACTCAGCACCATCCTAATACCTACCTTACATATTAAGGGATTGACTGTCACTCTTATAACGCGTCCACAGCTTCAAGTGTTCAAGTATTGGAGTAGTAAATTGATTCGAAGTCCACTCGCCAGCTCAGAATATAGAGCCCTACCCCAGAGTTAACCTGACCCGTTGTTTTCTCACCTTACTTCAACTTTTGCTTTCAACTTTTTGTAGCTTATAAAATCCATTAAGCTTTTTTTAAAGCGCAAGCTAATATAGTAAGTATGGTACTTTATTATATAAATTTAAGTAAATGTTAACAACTAAACCATACTTAAGGCGAAAGCATGGCTCAGTAGCTCGCTTCCCACTTTGGATTCATAGTCGGAAGGTTGCGAGTTCGAGGCTTGTTCGCAACATGCTCTTGTGTCCTTAAGCACACTTTACCCTAACTGTTTCAGTCTATCCAGTTGTAATGACAAGTACCAGCTGTTAGCTTGGAGGTTAACTTGCGATGGACTTGTTTCCCGTCCAAAGGAAATGTGTCATCATTCTCATCTGCTTGTGTTAATAAAGCAGGAGTTCAACATAGCCTTTTAAATGCCGTATTGGCATAGGAGGGATTATATTTTTTAGATGTTTTAGAAACATTTTGTCTTTTAATTAGCTAATTTAAAATATTATTCCTTTAGAAATACATCAGTTTCTATTGATAAAATATTGAATCATTATGTCTGGTAGATCTCTTCATATAAGGTCACCAATATAATTTAATAATTAATCAATATTTTGGGATTTATCTAAACTATATACATGATTATTCATTGTTTCTATTATAGAGTCTTGGCTGCTAAAAGCCCGCTTTCTTCAGGCGTATGAACTACTACTTGTTGGTGAATATGCCTTGGTTACAGAAAAATCAAATGCTAAAAAATTCACTTGATTCTGTGATTGGATATTATTAGTGTTTAATGAACTTTGTATTTCTTATTGTTTGTCGGCATATTTTGGAGGACACACACACACACTCGCCACTAATATCAACACAAGGGAATCAACAACTGGATAGTGTATGGAAGAACTTATTGATTGATTGTCTTTTCTAAGCTACAAAAGGAGTTGGATATCCGCAAGCCCACTGAAAAGTTTGACACTGAGATAGTCCAGCAGTTTTCAAATTTCTCTTAATATTTCTTTTTAACAACTTGAAAGTGCTTTTTACTTAAGTAAAAGCAACCGTCCTTGTTGCTACTGTATAATTAAAGTAAGAATACATTATAGTTCAGCGTAGGTACTAGATTTTGAATCAAATGTGTCTCGATCCAGACTTTCTAAGGCTTCTAGCACTGGTGAAAGTAACAATTCCATTGATTAAGATCGATACCTT